TACATACATACATACATACATACATACATACATACATACATACATACATACATACATACATAAAGAAAATCCAAATGTTGTCAGCCTCCATTTTGTAACCACTTGGGACGTCCTGACGTCACATGGAGCTGGTTCTGGAATGTATGAATGCGCAGAAAGCACCAAAAAAAGAGGAAACTACAAAACTGGAGGAAAGAGAGAYTCAACTGACCCTTTCTTCATTGAATGCAAAGATTTTGGCTCATTTTGTTTGTTTTTTTTAATTAAATGAGTCTGAGTTGACATGAGCTTCACTGTGTGCAAAATTTGCAAAATGAAGATGAAGCATTTAGGATCATGACAAATAGGCTCACATTGAGTTTTGAATGGAAAAAAATCGATTTTGAGTCGAATCGTGACTCCAAAAATCTGAATCGAATCGAACGGTGTGATAGTAAAAGATTCCCACTCCTAATTCTTAGACATGCTGTCCACTCCAGCAGCCCTGCATTCAGTGTGGACCAGCAGGGTACAGGGGGCTGATGGGATGAATAGCATTCAGGCCATCTTAATAACTCGGACTAATATACAGGAGACATATCATGCTTTAAAATCCTCATTTTCCCATTTAAATCATTTAGTTGGGGTCTATATAAAGTGGAACTGCAATGCTTTGGTCTGAATTTCTCCCTATTGTAACTCCACAAGCCCCCCTTTTCTGAGGTGTGTCTCAGATCAACTCGTTTTAAGGCTGTCTCTTTAAACCCAAATCCATCTTCACACCCCGCCCCCCTCCAGCTTCCAGAGCAGTTTATTCTAGTTTGTTAGAGGTGTTTACAACTGTCTAGGTCGTAGGACGTTTTTACTTAAAAATTAATTAAAAGATGACAACAACAGAAGACTTGTCCAACCAGCCTTGCATGTTGGAACCAGAGTCTGAACCCAAAGCCAGAGGAGGATGAAGACGACAAAATTGTAGTTTGTAAGTCCAAACCTCACTTGTCAGTTTTGTCGCTAATAATTTAATGCAATAGTTCATAAGCCATGTTTCCATCCAAATGTGATGTGAATTTTGAGTGAATTTTTAAAATGTCACAAAAAAGAAAATTATAAACAAAGTAATGCAAATCAGGCGTGTTTCTATGAACTTGTTTGGGGCAAATCAACCAGACAACGGAAAGCTTAATTTCATCAGACATTGACTTTATGCTTGGCTGTAATAAACAGGAAGTAGCAGTACAAACTAGCAGGGACCACACATCTCATGACAAAGGAGAGAAGTTTTCAGGAATGTGTTTCTATCGGGCATGCTATAATTGTTCTGTCATATCAACTAATATTGGCAAACATGCATTCTGTGTGAAGTCGTACAGAGAGAAAAGCAATTCTCTTTGCACTATGGGAATATCCAGGAAGAGGCCAACAGCAGAAACTGCTGATCAACAGTGAGGTAAATGTTCGCTACGCCAGAACCTATTCTGCAAATCTGTTTCCAGCTCCCTTTTTGCGCATTAACATTTTTCAGAAAATTCAAAAACGTTTTTGCGAACGAAGGACATTTTTTCGAAGTTTGCAGTTTCCATCAACCTTTTCTAATTCGATACTTCAAAATGGGCATAAAAAAACCATTGATGGAAACACGGTTATAGAAAATAAAGAAAATGGAATGGGTTGAAAACTGTGACCGAAACAGAATATAAAGGTTTCTACGCAACACTGGGAGAGACTAAATTCAAATCTTCTGCAATCTTAGAGACTCCAAGTACACAACAAAATGTATTTAACAGCTAAAACAGTGAATTTTGCTGACATGTTCCTTCTAAAAGGCAAAACATTCAAAAGAGCTGATATTAAATCAGTCGAACGAGAGGTTATGTTTTCTAACAGCACAAGAGGTCAGCTACATATTTGCTTATTATCTCAAGGATGAATTTTACAGAAAAGCCAAMAAACACTGATAGTAACTGTCAAACATTTGCTTACACTCAAATTCACAAACACTTCCTTACAGTGCGACCGCAGCTCGTTTTGAAACAAAGTTCAGGCTCAGTTATCTTTTTTTTTCTTGAGCATTACTTTTTAAATCAGCCATTCCGTTTGATTTCTCCCACTATTCTTGGGACTGTCATGACAATAATGGCCCTTTTGAGGCGAGTTAAGGAGCTGTGGGGAGGGGGGCTCTCGAGGACGAGGCCGCGGAGGCAGCCCCATGCTGGCCGCCAAACAATGCTGTTTTGGAGAGCCAAAGCACTGGACTCCAATGAAACCTGGTGCGAGGGTGCACGTAGAGGAGGCGACTGCTGGACATGTCAGTTATTAAGTCAGCATTGTAAAAAGAAACAGAAAGCTGGAGGGGGTGGGGGGGTGTAGAGGCAGAGCATGTGTGTTGAAAGCTCTGCGCTGCTGTACTGGTAAAAATTACAATTGCCTAGCTAAGTAGTTTCTGCAGCTTAAACCATCATCCCTCTTCTGTCCCACAGCTGTTTCCACCATCTGCTGATAAAACATTCAAACAGGGGCCAGAGCTCAGGGTTTAGCATTTCCACAGTGAACGTCAAGGAAAAGTCCGGCCTTGGCACCGATGCTGACATTCACTTATCGTTGCTTTCGTTCTGTTTGCAAACTTTACAACACTGTGTCCACTCCAGCTTATTTTTGTAGCAGGGAGTTCATTGATTCAGGCAAAGTCCAGCTATGTCAAGTGAAGCTCTCTGGTGTGTAGGGAGAGAAAGAAAAAGAGTGTCCTACTCACTATAAGGGACAATAGGACTCAGCATTCTGTGGAGCTGGTCTCAGTGAGGAGGAAAGCTGTTTCATGAATGCCAGCTAAGGTTAGCGCCGCTCCGGCTGTAGTCCATCACTGACATGAGCTTGCACTGACAACAGAACAACCTGGGGGGAGAAAACAGAGAGAGAAACAAAAAAAAAAAAAAGGTGAGGCAGCTACTGGATGCTGCGCAATGTTTGGACAAACACTCACAAGCTGTTTAGGCAAGTCCACACAGCGACACACATGCAAGGACACACAGAACAGACCTGAACCAGAGACTATGATAGAGTTACAGTCCAACCTGAGAGCCCGATCCGTGTAACAAAAAACAGAATTCACGTCCACGCAGTCTGCCAAATTCACACACACACACACAAGGGCATTCATTACAGGCAGGCATTAAGCTGATTGTGAAGCTGTGTCCAGGCTCTAAAGAGGGTTTTCTAAATCTGCCTCACAAAAAGACTCATGCATACCACTGCTCTGTGCGCTGAGGCAATAAAGACTGCATTCTCAGGACACCAAATACTTTTGGAGCTCTGCGAGCAAAATGCATGACTAACTCTGTCCTTTAATTGCACAATTTCCACATAATGAGCTAAATAATGAACTGATTCAGTCTATTACAGACTGAAGTTAAACATTTTAGAAACAAAGTACTTTAACCAGCTCTGTTTTCAAAGATAAGTCAACATATGATGTTGTTTGACTGAGTAAAAGTCTCATTTTAATCACGTAGATTAAAGACATGATCGCCCACTTTTATTTTAATTCTAACAAAAAATACCACAAGCCACTTGTTTTGTTCTAACTTATGTAGACATGCGTTTCCCCCAAAAAGAATACAAGTTTATTAAAGCAAAGCTGTCAGAATATTAACTGTCCACTGATTTGTGACAAAAATATTTAACGTTTCCAATATCACGAACTCTTTTTTTTGGTCAAACGTACACACAGCGTGTTATTTAATAGAAATATAGCAATGGCTACATGATAACCCGATCCATTCACATGAAGGAAACATTACGCAATGACCCCACGGCTGTCTCTGAACAYCAACAGGCGTCACGAACAGGGCCGTCTCAGGCTGCAACCCCCTCTGCTTTAACTGACAGCCAACTTTTACCACTCAGTCCAGAATAACACTGCGCTCTACAGCAACCGACCACAGTTTACACTTAAAACAAACAGAGCTTTTGCAGGAGAAAAGACAGGGCAGGTGGGGTGGAGGTGGGGAGGGGGAAGAAATGTCTCATGGTCAGTGGAGAGAGCTGCACGGAACAGGCTCGGTTCTCCAACTTGAAGCCGAGCCCAGTCAGACAGAGCAGCTGGCTCTGACAGCAGCTCCACACCGAGATGATGCAGAGGAGACAAGCGGCCTTACCTGTTCATGCCTGCATGTCCTCCATCAGAGCTGAAAGCACCAGGATAATCCCCGGACAGACCAGACCCTGTGTGTGCACTGCTATGCCTTTTTTCCACATATGGGACACATACAACTCTTTCCCTCCTCCCTCTCTCCTTCTCTCCCTTTCTCTCTCTCTCTCTCTCTTTCTCTGGCCAGTGACAACAGAGTGAGCACTCAGCTCCCCTCCCCCATGGACCTCCCATCCCCCCTCTCCCTCCCCTTCCTTCTCTCTCTCTCTCTCTCTCTCTCTCTCTCTCTCTCTCTCTCTCTTTCTCTCTCTCT